ATCTTTCAATTATTGCTTCTTATCATCATCCATTTCATTACATTTTTGGCAGGTAAGGGAGGAAACAGGGTGCAGATAGTAGCATGAAGGATGGGAGCTGAAAGATAAGAACAGACACCCAGAAAATGCCAAGAGATGAACTGAATTTATTAAATAACTTGGCAATGCAGTGAGACAAGACCAACACCCACTACTGGACTGCTTTCTGAACTGAACCCACTCAAACCTCCATGATCAATCCTGGGCAGAAAAACCTTACAAGCACATACAAGCACATGCCATTGGCTTAGGGCTCAGTTTTGAAATCATGGGCTGCACAGAGATGTCTTTTCTTTTTTTAAAAATATTTATTCTTAAGTTTTAGGTGGACACAATATCTTTATTTTACATTTATGTGGTGCTGAGGATCGAACCCAGTGCCTCACGCATGGTAGGCAAGCCCTCTAAACACTGAGCCACAACCCCAGCCCCGCCCCCCAGCTGTCTTTTCATAATTAAAATATTATTAGATAAATATTTATATTTCTTGTGTTCTGATTTTGAAGCATCAGCAAGTGTGAATGAAAACCTATGGAGCCCCCCTTTCTGCCTCCCTGGGACCAACCTTGAACCAGCTGGATGACCAACTGCTGCTGCTGACTATGACTTGGCAAAGAAGGCTAATCCAGCAGGGGTGGGGCTGTCTGGTCTGATGGCCTGGGCAGCAAGACCTGGGGATGGAGGATGCAGAGCCAGGCAGAGGCTGGGGCGGGGACTCAGACACACGGGGTTCCTCTTCAGTGTAACAAGGTGGCAGGACATGGACTTGGAAAAGGTGAGTGCCACAACAGAGAGATAAGGAGCAGGCCCACAGGCAGGCTCAGGGTCAGCATGTTGGGGAGGAGACAGAAGCACAGGTAACAACAGCTGGCACTTCTTCCAGAGTCAGTCCTCACTCTGCCTGAGGGTTAGTGCTTCTCTTGCAGGCTGGCCTAAGGCTCAAAAAGGCCCAGTTCTTGGCATCAGCAAGGGATGTCCATCTTGGAGTCAGCATCCCCTGATTCTAAGGTGGACAATTTGATATTTTAAAAATATTTAAGGGGCTGGGATTGTGGCTCAGCTATAGAGAGCTCGCCTTGCATGTGTGAGGCCCTGGGTTCGATGGGTTCGATCCCCAGCACCACATAAAAATAAACAAATAAAATAAAGATATTGTGTCCAACTACAACTAAATAATACATATTTTAAAAAAATATATTTAAAAGTCCCAGGGTGACTTATTATGCCTTTCTTCCCAGCAACTTGGGAGGATGAGGAAAGAGGATTCCAAGTTCAAGGCCAGTCTCAGCAACTAAGTGAGGCCGTAAGCAATTTAGCAAGAATCTGTCTCAAAAGGAAAAAATAAAAAGGGCTGGGGATATAGCTCAGTAGTTAAGCACCCTGGGTTCAATCTTTAGTACCCCCAAAAAAAGATATTTAAAAGTTTTAATTGATACATAATTGTACATATTAATGGGGTGCAGTATGATATTTCAATATGTATACAGTGTGCTATGATCAGATCAGGTAAACTGCCATATCCCAGGGCGGGAACTTTTATCTTTTATCGTTTATCATTTCCTTGTATTGGAAAGGGTAACCTGCTATTTTAAAGTCCTATAAAGGGAAAGTAAAGAAGCCAAATTCTAAAGGAGTAGGAAAAAGAACTTAGCACTTGCCAAAAGGGGATACACGAAAATAAATGATAATTTCATGATTTTTTTGGACTATTTGAAATGAAGAGAGGATAAAGCAGAAAATTACAGGGTCCTATCAACCTACAATGGTCACCATGTCCTCCTCTCTGTACCTCTACACCTGGAGAGATGATCTGAGAGGCATAGAGAAAGGAGAGAAAGCAGAGGAATTTTTTAAATAGACTAAAAAGATAATTTAAAGCAAAATTTCCCCTCCTATTTTCTGACTGTGCCAGGAAAAGCAACTCAGGTGCCTGATCTGATCTCATCAAACTTTTTCTGATAGTGCACAACTACGTCAGAATGGTCAGGCCTACTTTAATATCCAATGAGCAGAGCTCAGAGGGCAGTGCAGTCATTAAAAAGCATATGGGGGTGCTGGGATTGTGGCTCAGCAGCAGAGGGACCCGGGTTCGATCCTCAGCACCACATAAAAATAAAGGCATTGTGTTGTGTCCATCTACACCTAAAAAATAAATATTAAAAAAAAGACTTAAAGAAAAAAAGAAATTGAAGAAGACCTAAAAAAAAAAAAAAAAGCAGATGGGGAGGGGGGCATCATGCCTTGTTAAAAACAGTATATTACATGATTCAATTTTGGAGGAACTGGTTAAAGAATAATAACCAGGGGGCTGGATTGTGGCTCAGTGATAGAGTGCTCACCTAGCATGCACAAGGCACTGGGTTCGATCTGCAGCACCACATAAATGTAAAATAAAGATATTATGTCCACCTAAAACTTAAGAATAAATATTAAGAAAAGAATAATAACCAGTAACGTGAACCAAAATGTTACCAGCAGTCATCTCTGAATTGTGTGATTACTACTGATTTTTCCTTCCTTTACATTTTTCTTACATTTTTCAACTTTTAATAACTGTGTATTAATTTCCCAATTAGAAAAAAAAGCCATTATTTTACAAAGGTTTAAGTTTAAGCTTTAAACACTTAATGATGCTGTTGTGATTTTGAGGAGGTTGGCCAGCAACCTGCCTTTAATTTCAGGCTGCTGATGGGATGGTCCAAAAGTTCCTGTTTGGGTCAGCACCCTAAGGGAATACCAAATATGGGGTTCACATATTTAGTGGGAGGGGAGCACTCCAGGCAGCAGTGTTCTTTCCTCTGGAAGGTTCCCGAAACTCTGGATAAGGCATATGGCTGCAACAGCTGGCAGGGAGATGGATCAAGTGGTGCAGTTTTGAGATCTGGTGAATGCTGTTCTGAGTTTTTCTGAACCAAGAGTTGGTATCCTTTTTTTTTTTTTTTCTGGAAAGCACCAAGTAGGCAATATTTTAGGCTTTGCAGCCATGTGATCTCTCTTGCAACTACTCAACTCTGCTGCTGAGAAGCAGCTGGGACAATATTACAACAGATGAGTGTGGCTGTGTTTCAATAAAACTTTATTTACAGAGAATGCAGTTTGCCAATCCCTGAAGAACTCCAGTTTCCCCAGCATAGTTCAAGAAGCTAAGTGATCAGGTACAAGTTCCTGTTAATAGGTGAGTCATTAGATAAGATCTCCCCCTCAAGTGAAGGGTTGATTACAGATGATTTCACAGAAAAGGAAGTTCATTATTGTACTTATGGTTTTGGCCATTTAATATGTTGGTCTTTGTCCTCCACATAAACTATGAGTATCGAAGTTTGGAAAGTGAGTCTGCATTTTAAATACCATCCATGTAATTCATACAGGGACATGTAAATAGAATGAGCTCGATCCACCTTTGCTGAGTAAGAAATGAATGAATGATTGTCTTCTACCGAGCTGGTGTGAAATGTAGTTCTTGAGTGTCACCTCTTGGGAACTTCTCAAGCTGTATCCAAGTAGATTGCACCTTAAATGAGACATCCTGTGTCCCCAGAGTTGGGGAGAATGTCCTGAACAAAGTAGCCCAGAAGAACAGTCAGGTTGCCAGGTCACATAAAAAGTGTCCCAGGGCTCAGGCCTCTGCTGTTCACTCCCTCCAACCTGTAGGTTAACATAGTGTCTACCTCACAAATACGTCAGTACCTCCTAGAGGAATATAATTCTGCCCAGATATTTCTAGAAGATCAATACAAACAACCAAAGGTTGGGCCTGTCCAATGTCCCTTCTATCGGGTTTCCTAGTTTCTCAGTGACTGATTTGAAGCTGAGGGAGTGTGAGACCTGAGCTTTTATCCTATGGCTCTTTGGTACCTCCACACCCCCTGCCTCCTATTTTGCCTCACCTCAGTCAAGGCACCAAAGAGGTCAACTTGTCAAGAACTCTTTCTCGCCAGGCTCAGTGCACACCTATAATGTTCACATATGTGTGCATTCACATATGTGAACATATATGTGCATACCTATAATCCCAGTGGCTCGGGAGGCTAAGGCAGGAGGACTGCAAGTTCAAAGCCAGCCTCAGCAAAAGCGAGGCACTAAGCAACTCCGTGAGACCCTGTCTCTAAATAAACATAAAATAGGGCAGAGTGCCCCCGAGTTCAATTCCTGGTACCCCCAAAACAAAACAAAACAAAACTCAACTCTTAATCTTGTCCATTTTGACATAGCATCAATCTTTATCTTCTACAAATGCAAAACATGTCAATGAGGTAGAAATGAGCAGGTGAATCCCTGCAGCCTCTTGATTCAAACTCTTTCCCTGACAGGTCCTTGTGGAACCCACATCCTATCTTAGGTGAGCCTCCTGGCTATATCAAAATGTTCACTCTCAAGACGGGAATTTAGAATCATCTCACCCCAAAGAATCTGGGATAAAAGCCAGGTTAGAAGATGGATTTTAAGCAATGCTAATAAACAACATACTTGGCTAAAATCTAGTTTGGAGTCTGAATGCCTCACGAGGTAAACATTTTGCAGGGGTTCATCCTAGTTTTCATGTGGGATATGTGTGTGAATGCACATATATGTGAACATAAGCATAGTCCAGCCAACAGAAACAGCATGCACATGTGTACTGGATGGTATTCATTTTTCTAAGTAAATATTAATGGTCATTGAGAAGATGTGTTCTAAATCTAACAGTAAGGAACCAGATCCTGGAGTTCTGAGTTCCCTGTTGTCCTTTCCAGGTCGCAGAGATTTATGCAGAGGCCCATGGAAGGTACACACAGATGAGAAAAAGAAAAGCTAGGCCACAAAATAGTTCCAGGGAGAAATCCCAGGGAAATAACCCTCAGAGGTCTAAGGCCAGAACATTTCTGGGGTCCCGGTTCCAGATGCTGGTGCTGGCCCTGGCCATATGAAGGACTCTCGGAGCCCAAGAAGCAAGCATAGCACAGAACGAGAGGGCTACTCACGCTGTCATTGCTTCCTTTGTTGTCCTCATACTTGGTTTCTATATGAATGGAGAATTTCGGCAGAAAGGAACACTATGGAGAAAAAACAAATATGCATTAGCACAAGCTCTCTCTACTCTGCACACGCTCAGTACAGCCTCTGCTCTCCTCACCATTTGGTTGGGAGCCCGGCTTTAGAGCAGAAGTGTTGATCTACTATGGCAATATCCCTATGCACTTACGAAAAGCCACCTTTAGGAGCATGAACACAATTTCTTCCAGAAGTCAGGCCAGAGAGAGAACCCAACAGGAATATGTTCTGTGGGTCCTGCCACCAGCTTTGGAAAAGCAAATCCCTAAAACAGAGGTCAACTCTGGTCTGGAGAGCTAACCCTGGGGAGCAATTGCCACTATTGGATAAATGGGGGGTCTGCTTTAACTTCTATATAAATACTTATATAAAGTTAGGAAGGTATAACTTTAAAAGTTAGTCAGACTGGTTTTTAATATGACTTTGGATAAGTCATTCAACTTCTCTGAACCCCAGCAGTATCAAACAGGAATAATAATTATTAACTAAGAGTGGCATTGTGAAGGTTAAATAAAATGATGTGCATAAATATAGTGGCAGAGTGTGTGCTTAGCATGTGTAAGGCCCTGGGTTTAATTTTCAAAACAAAATAACAAAAATAACACACACACACACATAAAATATGTAAATATAATATAAATAATGCTGAGCACTGAGTTAGCATTCAACAAAACTCAGTGATCCATGAGGCTGCAGCCGAGCTTGACCAGAAAAGTCAGCCCTTCTTGCTGGCTGCATGAGGGACACTACAAACCCGGACTGCAGCTCGGCCCTAGTGTTCCAGATTGTCTCATTCTGTGTATCCAGTAGATCTTAAGAGGTAAGGCAGCTTGAGAAGAGGATTTTGACAAATGTTGGTGTAACTACCCTCCTGCTAGCACTGAGCTGGCCATTACTTTTTGGATATAGGTTTGAAGGCTAATGGGTAAAATGACCCAGGGACTCCACTGGGAGCTGCAGGTGTTGGGGAAATGAGACTTCACTTGATCTGATCACAGTCCCAAGAGGCTGGGTCCTTTATGTACTTATCTACTACTCAGGGAATGTACTTTCAACATCAGCACAGTCTGAATACTTTCAGAGTCTCATGTATTCTTTGCAACAATCCTAAGGGGTGGGTACTGTTATTATTAACATCACCCCTGCTTTCAAGATGAGGAATGGAGGCACAGAGAGGTTAAATAAATGGCCCATAACCACAGTTATGCATCTAGAGTCAGGTGTGAAAGCAAAGTGGGCTGGCCCCAGTGTCCATGCTCTTGACTACTACCCCAGTGCTTCTCACAGGGGCGTATCTGGTCTAGCAACAGCAGCATCACCCTCAAACTAGTTAAAAATGGAAATTCTCAGGCTGCACACTAGACCAATTGAATCAGAAACCCTAGAGTGGGGTCCAGCAATTTATGTTTCACTTGTTCAAGTTGGAAAATCAGCTCACTCTCCCATGCATGGGAAGGAAACAGAGTGTACCGTCTAAAATCCAAAAGTCCACAAACACCTACCCTCATCTCTTGGGCTTCATCCCCACAATGACCATGCTTCCGTTTTAGAGCCCCGGGGGCATCCGTATGAGAAGGCAGAGGTCTTGGACATGCTAGGGATAATTTTCCTGGCATCACATGCCTGTGTGCATTCTGCATCCATCTGTCTGAATCTGAGCAAAATAAGCAATCTGAACCGTGACTAAGGAAACACGGAAACAATCAATCCCAATGATTGCCTTTATGGAGAATGAGGCCCTGTGATTATTCATTAACACCTTCTCTGCTGATTTCTCTCCAACCTCTCACTTAGTAAGTGAGGCCCTCATATCCTGTTCCAAAGGGTTCCAGGACGGTCTGCTTATTGAGACCCTGGAGAATTCAAAGCCCCCAGCAGAGCTTTGAGAGACTCATGAACAGGAGGGTCTTGGCCTAGAGGCCCTCTTAAAAATAACCAACCTTCAAGTGAATCAGTTCTGTACTTTTAAACCCATTATTCATCTGAGGGCCAATCCAATGAGTGGCGCGACAACAGGGCCATGCAGGGTGTGAGTAGACCTAGGGGGTGCCATGTAGAAAATCATAAGGATTTTGCATCAGTTGAACCTCCAAAACCACTAAACTAGGTCAAACAAATGAATTTTAGCATTTGGGGTATTAAACTCAAATATGAAATGCAAAACTCTTATGCAAATTAGCAGGTGCTGTTATTTTTGAGTCAAAGACTCAGGTTATTTTCATGTCAGAATGGCAACCTTGCCCTGAGGTTGGGAGCGCACCTGCCTGTGGCAGCGGAAGGATGGGAACCGGATGGGCCAACTCCAGGCTGGTCAGTGCTTTCTCTGCTAATCCCTTTGGAATACCTGACAGCTAGTTCTTGAAGTCCTGGAGTATGCAAGTGTTTAAAAAGTTAAAATCAGAAGTCTGTAGCTCTAGGCATTTTCAGACCTGTCATTAAACTCTTTCCAGTAAGATGTCCATCTTAAGATACACTTCTGCCTGCCCCATGCAGGCTAGTGGTTGTAAAAATTCCAGCACACAAATCCTAACAATCTATAAGTGTTAGGCCCCAGCACTCGGCTTTGCCCTTCCTGTCTCACAACTGATCATTTTGATCCAGGCTTTGATGAGAACATAGATGCTGTGACAGAAACACCTACAACTTCCCTTTCATCCACTGCAAAACTTCTGCTTATTAGGTTATACTTCTTGTTCTTGGTGAAACAGAGAAAGACGTCTTTTTCCCAATGCAAAATAATATAAAGAAAAGCCCTGACACATTTGAACCAGTTGACTTAGGCTCAAATCCAAGACACAGTGCGCTTTGGGCAAATTCTTTTATCAGCCCCAGCCTAAGTTTCTCCATTTATAGAATGAGGATAATACTCTTCTCTGTGGAGAATATCAATGAGGTCAGGCAGGTAAGGCCCAGCATAGCGCTTGGCATGTCACAGGTGCACAGTAATAATAAACATTCCCAAGATTCTTCTCTGGAACCTTGTCTCAGTGATAATTTACATCTTCTCCCTGCCTCCTTCCCACAGTCTAAAAAAATATTCCTAAAAAAAAAATGATCACAAAGTTCTTCGTTTCTTCCTTTATCTATGACCAACCCCAATTCTGTCTTTATAATCAAATATATTTAAAGAGTAGTCAGTCCTGGTCAGCTCTACTCTTTTGGTCTCTCACCTCTTCTCAACCAGTACAATTTGGTATGGAGATGACTGATTTGCAAAACATTTCCAAATCAGCACACTTTTTTCATCTGCACCCTAGAGACCCCTACAGAGGGTGAAATGACCCAGCAACTCCTCTGTCCTTACAGCAGTTCCTGCTCAATCCTTCTTCCACCTTCAGTGGAAGTGATCCCTCCTTCCTCTTCTTGCTCCAAAACTTTGTCCCTGGTCATCTCATCTGTTTCTGATTTGCCCATGACCATTCTTTGCAGGTACCTCTCAAATCAACCTCTAATTCCAACCTCTCTTCTTACATTTCAGCTGCCCAAAGGCCACGCCCAGATGGTCTCACAGGTACACCTGACCTGAAATGTCTGCACTGAACTTGAATGTTCTCCTTCCCTCTAGTAATTTTCTAGGGTGGGGGTGAGGGGACAAATTACCACAAATTCATGGTTAAAATAAAAGACATCTGTTCTCTCACAGTTCTGAGGGTTACAAGTGGAAACCAAGGTATTAGCAATGTGGATTCCCTCTGAAGATTCTAGGGTCCAGAAGCCCCAAGCAGTCTTTGGTTTGTGGCTACATAGCTCTAGCCATTGTCTGCAGCTTCATATCACCCACCAGATGATGAGCTCCAATCCTGTCATTCTCCAACAGGAGGATCCTCCTTATACCCCATCACCACAGGGAATGGCTTATGTGATGGTTACCACAGTTTTCAGACCTCCGAGCATCTCTTTGAAGTTTGCTCACATTAATACTTTTGCTGCAACCAAATATACCTCTACCCTAGACATTCTCAAATATGCAGGGGGAGAAGTGAGACTCTCACTTTCCAATCCTTAACTTCCTCAAAATATGTGCAATCCCATAAAGATTCTGACATTTCCCTTGAGTGAGGGGGATTCCATGCCACTGAGGGACCTGTCATGAGGGGTGGGAGTGGGAAAGAAGTCAGGAACTCTGATATAACCACACTTGAACCTGCTCCAAGAAGAGTGATACCAGGATTGTCAGCCATTAACCTAAAACTAGAAGATGGCAAAGGAATTTGGAAGACTCTGTGCTTTCTATAGTGTAGTCACCTGAAAACGTAGGGTGCTTCAAGTTCCATGAGGCCCACAAAATGCAGGAGAGAGTTCTGAGACAGCCCCAGACCCCACCCCATGGTGCACGTAAGCTATATGATCCTCCCCTTCTGTATATGATGGGACACTGCTCCCTGGATTGGTCCCTCGAGCCATCACAGGGAGCACAGGCTTTGACGGCTACCAAGGAGATGAGATGCTCACTCCTGATACTCTGTCACAGTATCCATGACTTCAGTTTTTAAAAGCAGAAATTCTTTTGTTGGCTTTGAAGCTGTGAGAAGGCCAGGTGGCTAGGAACTGAGGAAGGCCTCTGGGAGCCGAGAGAACAGCCAGCTGGAAAAGTAGACCTCTGTCCTACAGCCACAAGGAATTTCATCCTGCCAGCAACCGATGGGCTTGCTTGGAAGAGGACCCTGAGCCTGGGGTGAAACTGGAGCCTTGGCTGATAGCTCAGTATCCACCTAACCAAGGATTCAGTTAAACTGGGCCTCAACTCCTGACCAAGGAGACTGCAAAATAATAAATTTGTGTTGTTTTAAGTTGCTAAGTTTGTGAAAAATTTACACAGCAATAGAAAACCAACACACTCAACCTGCCTACTGTTTCCCTTCTGAATCACACCCCTGGCCTTCATCCGATGAAGCATCATTCGCTGTGAGCTCTGAAGAGTCCAGGGCACTGGGGAATTCATACTCTTTCTGACTTAGTCATTTCACCTATGATATTATCTGCCCTGTCATTGGCCATTGCT